GAGAACAAGAAGAAACACAAAAGGAAGGAGGGCCTGAAATGGGAGGGAGTGATGAGAGAGGACATTGCTTCACTAGTGGATGAACAAACATTAGTGAAAGGAAACACCTGTCATAGCCACCGGGCTAAGTAAACCAAAACACAGCAAAACCCTGGGCAACCCGAGCATAGAAGGTGACAGGTCAGAGCAAGCTTTCTAGAATCCTTTTACAATTTGGGGAGTTCCGATCTACACTTTATAGTCTGTGAGATCAGCCACATTTAATATGGGATGAATGAGTTCTAATCTAGCAGAGGTGGGAATAAAGGAGGCTGAAGGGTAGAAAGAGGAAGAAACAAATGTAAAAGAAACAAAGAAAGTCAGGAAAGTAAAGTATGCACGTGCACACATGTGCGTGCACACACACACACACAAGTTGATAAAAGCAAATGTTTAAATGTCAACGCTTAAAATTTACATGACTGGACTAGGTTCCCTTTTCAAGGTGAAGTTATTTATAATAGTTTTTTTAAATCCTAACTGTATACTTTATAACTAATTTAAGGCCTATTACGAAATGTTAGTGGGGCTGGACAATGGTGGTGCACATCTTTAATCCCGGTACTCAAGAGGCAGAGCCAGGCAGATCTCTGACTTTGAGGCCAGCCAGGTCTACAGAGCGAGTTCCAGGACAGACAGGGCTACACAGAGAAAGCCTTGTAACGCCTGCATTACTCCCTACCGTACAGTTCACGCTACTATGCTGTGCGCAAGCTGGGCAAGGGCCTGGAGATTAAAGTAACACACAAGAGACGTGGGCCATTCGTGAGAAGAGAATGCCTAATGCCATTTATTCAAACTTAGAAAAAAATTTATATACCTAACTGCTGCACTACGGAAATCCCCCCAGGCAGGTGGGAAATTACCAGGCTCAAGAGTAAACAAAACCTCTAAGCTAACCACCAGTGAGGGCAGAGGGAACCCAGGAACCAACAGGATGTTTAGCCGGAAACTGCAACAAGACATTCGGGCAGAAACTGTTCTCCAGATGAACCCCAGGAGGAGGGGTAATCTGTGGGCCCTACAACCCTATCTCCAACAACCAAATTAAAAAGAGGAGGAAGAGGAGGAGGAAGAGGAGGAGGAGGAAGAGGAAGAGGAGGAGGAGGAAGAGGAGGAGGAGGAGGAGGAAGAGGAGGAGGAGGAGGAGGAGGAGGAGGTGTTAGCATAAAAATGGCGCGGTGGTTTGAATGAGAGGAGCCATTAGAGACTCATGTGAATGCGTGACACCAAGTTAGTCGACTGCTTTGGAAGGATTGGGAAGTGTAGCCTTGTTGGAGAAAGTGTGTCTCTGGAGGTGAGCTTTGAGGTTTCAAAAGTCCCCCCCCTCCACCTCTACTCTCAATCTCCTGTCTGCCTGTGAATTAGGATGCAAGCGCTCAGTTACTGCTCCAAGGACCACGCCTGCCTGCTACCAAGCTCCCCACCATGATGATCATGGACTAACCTTCGGAAGCTGTGAGCAAGCCCCAATTAAAGTTTCCCTTTTATAAGTTGGCTTGGTCATGGTGCCTCTTCACAGCAATGGAACAGTAGCTAAGACAGACGGAGAGCGTATACTAAACAAAGTTAAATATCTGCTCTGTAAGAGAAAACCTAAGAGGAGAGAGGCTTGGAAGCAAGGCACAGTGAATGCTTACTGGTCAGGCCAGGAACTCCAACAAGCACCCTACTCGAGACCAATGAGCAGAAGGTGACAGAAACTCAAGAAGAGATCTGCAAATTGACCCTCACAACATTTCACTGCATGTGTGCATAATCCCAAAACTGGCCGCTGAAGCCAGACAATGACAATATCAACTGTCCTTCCAGAATTGGCTGGCTCGGTGGGTTCAAACTTGGCTGACAAAACTGAATTAGTTCGAATTAGCCAACCTGCAGGTAGGAGGTTAGGCCTGATAGTCCCCCCAGATTCTACGATCCCTCTGTCAAGGCCAGGCTTACTAACAAGCTTCCGTTTTATCACAGTCCTCTTCCCAATTGATAATTGGAACTATTGATAATAAACAACCATGCTCTCAAGATGCCCACTGCTGGTTACTGTTCTAGCTGCAGTTTGGGGGTACAGGCCATCATGGCGGGGAAGGCACGATGGCAGGAGTGTCAGGTAGCAGGTCACATTCTGACTGCAGTCAGGAAGCAGAGAGATCAGTGGTGGTGTATGGCTCACTTTCTACATTTTATTTAGTCTGGGACCTCCACCCACATTTAGTGTGGGTCTCCCCACACCAGTTAAAACAGTTTAGAAACTCCTTCACAGATATGCCAAGAGGGCTGTCTACTAGATAATTTAAGGTCTTGTCACACTGACAATATTAACCATTATATGGCCTAACGTGGATTTTAAATCATTACTATAAAATATGATAAATAATGGAAGCAGAATTTACATTACTTTGCTCCCTACAGGCAGTCTGCATTGTACACATTTTGAAGCCTCGTGCTTTCTCAAGATTAGATAATTTTTATCCTTTAAAACTGTGGTGGTTTGAATAGGAATGTCTCCCATAGACTCATGTCTTTGCATGCTTGGCCTATAGGAAGCGGTACTATTAGGAAGTGTGTGGTCTTGTTGGGGGAAGTGTGTCACTGTGGGAGCAGGCTTCGGGGTCTCATATGCTCAGATTATGCCCAGTGTGGTACACAGTCTCCTTTTGCTGCCTGAAGTCAAAATGCAGAACTCTCAGCTCCTCCTCCAGTGACGTATCTGACTGCAAGCTGCCATGTTGATACCGACCAACCCTATGACACTGTAATCCAGCCCCAATTAAATGAGCATGGTGTCTCCTCACCTCATAGCAACCCTAACTAAGACAGAAACGTAACTAATAGGTGGTAAGGAGGTGGCTGGGTAGTTGGCAGCACCAATTCCCTAGCTCAGTTCCTAGCATCTGTGTAGCTGCAACTCCAGTCTCTAGGAATCTGCTGCCCTCTTCTGGCCTCTGGGACAACTGCATGCATTTGACACAGATACACACAGACAAAAACATTCACATAAAATGAAAAGTAAACTTAACTAATTGAATTTTAGAAATAAAAAGAAAAAAAGTAGAATAGAGGGTCTTTGCAGGAAGGGAGTGAAAGAGAAATCCCGAAATGCCAATATAAGACTGAACAAAATCTGCAAAGGGTGGAGGGTGGGTGATAGGCCACACGTGGAAACCTGGACGTTTCAAAGCCTGGGTTTTGAAAACAGGCTTAAAGGAGATGAGGATCAGAAATAAAATATGGATGGTGGGTGGTGTTGAGGGTGACTCAGAGGACTGGTTTAAAAAAAAAAAAAAGTCAGAAATTTTCCCTAGTGCCAAAAGTGCAACGTTAGAATGGACACGGAGTTAACTGGACTGGCCAGCAGGTGGTGCCAGTGTGCCATTTGCGACAAACTGGGTCCTAAGGCTTCTTCCTCCAAATGAACCTGCAAGATGGGGGCCCCAGGAAAATTCATGGAAATCTGAGGCTGTCTGTTTCTCCCGTCGCCTTCTTGGGTCTGGGTAGCCCAGAGCTATGGCCACTGAGAGGCGCTGCTCTCCAGACCAGCTTCCTGCCTGCCTATTTGTCAGAAGTGTGGTTCCATTCAGGCAACAAAGTAACACGAGTGGAAACTAAAGTAAGAAAACTGAAGTCCCTGGCTCTCCGGTCTCAACCCGGAGACCCTGCAGCTATTTCGGGAAACCGCACAGGGAAATCAAAGGTAACATGAGAGCAGGCAGGACAGAGCCCCAGAGCTCCAGTGAGCTAACTTCAGCGGCATTCAAGGGCTCTCTCCCAAAGGTGACGACCTTGTCAGCCAGCTTGTCTCTGTGACAAAAATAATATACGTCATCAACATATGGGAAGGGTAGCCCGTTTCTGCCTCCAGAGGGCTGGATTACAGGCGGGCCGCCATGCCTACCCAGCTTTTACACAGAGTCTGGGGATGAGCTTCAATCCACAAGCTTGCACAGGGAATATTGTACCATTGAGCAATTTCCTCAGTTCCCTGTTAAATGCTTACAGTGTCTACCAAGATAACCTTATTTTATATTTTGAGATGCTAATAAATCTATAAGTAATTTCCTTCATAATTTTAAAATACCTTTGCATCCCTGGGTTATGTGTAACAATATTAAATGCCTTGTGTGCCTGGAGTAGACCTTCTGCAGTCCAAGCACATGCCTACCATTCTATCGGGTTGCAAACGTTGAGAGTTATTTGCAAATTTCTCATTGCCATTTACGGGGATCCCTAGACAAGAAGCAAGGCCTCCTTCCTTCTCTAGGAGAGAATGCTTCAGTTCTGAGGGAATACCCAACTGTTACTGGATTCCTTCCTCAAAAGCAACTTTTGATAAATTATATGGGAGCAAGAATCTGAGGACAGTGCATGATAAAAGTGTATGAGCAAGGGCTGGAGAGATGGCTCAGAGGTTAAGAGCACTGCCTGCTCTTCCAAAGGTCCTGAGTTCAATTCCCAGTAACCACATGGTGGCTCACAAACATCTGTAATGAGGTCTGGTGCCCTCTTCTGGCCAGCAGCATACACACAGACAGAATATTGTATACATAATAAATAAATAAATAAATAAACAAATAAATAAATAAATATTAAAAATAGCTCAAAGAAAGAGACTTTCTGCTTTCTTATCTGAAGAGATGGTTGAGTGTGTGTGTGTGTGTGTGTGTGTGTGTGTGTGTGTGTGTGTGTGTGAGATAATTTGCTGCAGAGGAAGCCACCCCAAACAGCCAACAGCCAACCCTTCTTCAGACAATGAACTCCAAAAGGTAACCCAGCCAGGGCTACCGCTGGCTCACAGTCCCCTACACAGGAGCCTGAAAGACAACCCGTTGTGCATGCTCCCAGGCTAAAAGGGACAGGAGGGAGAGCCCAACAAGGGACCAGCAAATAGTCTTGAGTCAGACACATCATGAATTTATTTTTAAATAATAAATAAACGACAAAGGAAATACAGGAAAGAAAACATTCATAAATTCAACTCACTAAAGTGCTTCCAAACATAAATTCAAAAGGACCAAGAAATCAGGTCTGACCTTCAGACAGTCCTCAGATATTTAACAGTTACCTAAACATGGCTCCAGATGATCTCAGAGGAAGGGAGGGGTATGGTTTTCTTTGTTGTTTATGCATCAAATATCCAAGGCCTATCACGTGACACTCAGAACACAAAATTACTGTGAGAACAAGAATGTCTAAGAGCCGGTTCCAGGAAAAGTGATACAGCATTCATTCATTCATTCATTCATTCACTATCTGTTTAGAAACTTCTGGTTTGTAAAACAATTGTATTCACACTTGTAATCCCAGCACTGGAGAGGTTGAGGCAGTAAATCATAAAATTGAAGCTAGCCTGGGCTGCAGAGCAAGACCCTGCCTGTTTCAACAAAACCAAACCAAATCCAAATATTCTAACTTAGAGTGAAGAGGTAAGACCAGTGCTCTTAATGATTGAACAATATCTCAAATAATGTAGGTGGTAATAGTATAGTCTTTCTCTCTTTCTATCTCTATCTCTATCTCTCTCTCTCTCAATAGGGTCTTACAGAGTCCAGGTGGACCTCAAACCGAGACGCTCTTAAACATCTGATTTCTTGTGTCCACCTCCTGAGTGCTGGGTTTACAGGTATGCGCCACCCACATCTGGTTTATGTGGCACTGGGGATTGGCCTCAGGCCTGTGTGTGTACTGTCAACTGAGCTAAGTCTTACTCCATCCCTAAAACTACCTTTGAATTTCAAATCTTTCCTGCTCAAATTCTACAACGGAGAAACAAAATTTTAGACCAAATTGACTGGTTCAAGGTTATAAAAAGTGTCCTCCATTCTAGAATTCAATGGACCATTCCCTAGATTATCATTTATCCAACACAATGCTGCCTTTCATCCAGGTGTTTCAGGAAGAAAATCAAACTGAAGGTGTTTGTCTTGGACCAGTTTTGTCTCCTAAAAATTGCTGGTGAGAACTATGCATATATCCAGTTTGGGGAGGAGGGGGAGCACTCTGTTGGTCTCATGAGGCTCCCACCTTTGGGGGCTGGAGCACCTGCTACCCTGGGTCATGGTGACATCCCAGAGCACTGGACCCTGGGGACATTTTCTTTGTCTCCTGTCTGGAAGAGCTGGACAGGTCAATGGCAACATCTTCCAAGCTGTCCTCAGGGTTCAGGCTTGTGTTGCCTGGGCCCCCTTCAAGTCCATCCTGGCCCTTATTAGTGCCTTCCTTGAGGTGATCAAAGCCCCAGAGTCCTGCCAACTTGTCTTCACTTTCTGGTTTCTTCATCCCTGTCGACTTTTTATGCATCCCTGGAAAACAGAAAGGAACAACAACAACAACAATTTTTTTTTATTTGTTTTGGGACAGGGTCTGTCTATGTAGTCCTGACTGTCTTGGATCTTGCTATGCAGACCAGGCTGACCTCAGACTCACAGAGACCCGCCTGCCTCTCCATCCCAGGGACTCAGCTCAAAAGCTTGTGTCACCACACCAGGCTCAAAAGTATTTTTAAACTCAGCAATTAAGTGCATTCCTTCCTTTTATCACTGTTCCTTCTATCTCTAAAATTTTCTTTGTCCGTGTTCCTCTGGGGCCTAGGAGAGCCACGGGGGGGGGGGGGGTTAACTCCCAGCACTAGGGCTTAGAAGGTCCTGTCCACCAGTTGTCACTCTTGCAAAATTGCTTTGTTGGGTGACATGGTGGTTTCACGTTTGTTTGGAAAACAAAATGACCCTAGATCAGCACTAAACCCAGTGGCTTGTGTGACTGAAGTCCAGTGCCAACAAGTAGCCCTATTTGTGTGATTTCGGAGGACTGGGCTTGGCTCTCCATCCCCGCTTCTCTCTAATCTTGTCGGTCCTTAGGCAAAGTCTAGGCTGTATCTCCGGTTCTCAGCACAGCACATTGCCGGAGCACTGTTTGCTGAGCTTTCCCCACCTAAAATCCCTCTATGATCCACCTAATTAATTTTCTGGTAGTGATTATCTTGGGACCCAAGCCTGCAAACTCTGAACCCAAACAGATCAGGAAGGGGTAAGCGCACCAGAAAGGGCACATTTGTTAAATCAGGACCAGGACCTGGCCTGTTATTTCCACAGTGCAAACAGAAAGGCGTGCCCTAGATTCTCCCTGCTCGGAACGGCCCTATTACCCTTGCACTCTAAACTGTCTAAGTTTCTAAACTTCCCAGCAGCATTGACCTCTTTAACATACGTATCAAACACGAGGCAAGTTTCCCTGACTATTTCCATTTGCCAATGTGAATAGCCCAAAAGGACTTTCCCACACTCTGCCTCCACACTTCCAATGAAAATTAAGGCTAGGAATTAAAGAGAAATTAAGAGTTCAGACAGGGCCTAAACCTGAGACCTCTCCTGCTTTGCTCCGTTAGTCCACAGTGAGGACCCCGCCCACCTCCCTGGTCCGGTTCTCAGGCAAGGGCTTACCCAGAAGCCAGGGCGCACAGGAGCCCTGCAGGCTATCCGCAGAGTTGAGCACGGAATCTGGCAGCGGGATGCAATGGCGCACCATGGCCCCGTAGAGCCCGTACTCAGCCATCACGCTGCTGCCGCCCCAGCGCTTCTCTCGCTTGCGCCACTTGGCCCTCCGGTTCTGGAACCAGACCTGGTTAGAGGCAGAGGAGGGTCTCAAGGAGAGACCCTATGAAAAGGAATGCCTGGAGGAGCACGTGCACTCCAGGACTCCGGGTCTACAAAGGGCCCATTCCCCACCCAAGCCTGCGAGCCAGTCAGCTTGGCAACAGCCCTCCAAACCAGCAAGGAATCAGCATGGTGGGGATAAGGCAGAAGTCGCTTCCTCTCAAGTTTTCTAAGGCGTCAGGAAGCAAAAATAAGGAATGAAAAGAACCCTTTCCTGCAGTGTGTTTATAAAGGGGCTGCGCACAACAACGTTTCCTGACTTTCCTGTTGAGAAAGTCTACAGGGGCAGTGAGTGGTCCCTTCAGACTTTCAGGGTTGATACACTATGACACCTACTCAGGCTGTAGATGGTGATTTCTTTAAAAACTAAAGAGGCGAGCTAAACATGTTTACTAATGTGCCTTCATGCAGCTTCCTAGCTCAATACACAATTGTCTGACTTCCTTAAATATCACTTTTAATAATTTTGTGTGCATGCATGAAGAAGCTGGTGTGACACAGCACAAACACGGCTGTCTGAGAACAACGTGCAAGAATTAGTGCTCTCCTACCAAGTGGCTCCCAGGGATCCAACTCAGGTGGAAGTCATTTTGGTGGCAGGTGCCTTAACCAACTAGGCCATCTCGATGGCTCACCATTGTGTAATGTTTGAGGATAGGTCAAAGATAATGATAGAGGGGAAAAAAAGCACAAAGGCCAGAGAGAGCCTTTTAGTGCCTTTAACTAAGCCACTCTCAGCTCTCAAGTGAAGAGGACCGTGCAGGGCTGTCCTGAGTAGCTGTGGCTAGTTCATGGGGGGTGGGGGGGATGACACGTTCTCTACCCTGTCTTTAGACGAGAAAGGGCACCACTAGACACCTGTATTCGGTCCTCAGGGAGCTCTGTTTTCACAGCCAGCATTTCCCGGGCATACACATCAGGGTAGTGAGCCTCACCAAATGCTTTCTCCAGTTCTTCAAGTTGATGGGCAGTGAAAACTGTCCTGTAGAGAAAATTACACATGTAATACGCCAGAAAGAGAAAACCCACTTACCAGCCTACCAAATTATGTCTCCAGAACTGTACAGATTTCCCTGTAGCCTTCTGAGTAATACATGTCAACTTTGAAAATAAATGTATGGTTCTCACTGGCCACTGTAGGACTGCTGGGCTCTCTATGCATCCTTAGACGCTGTTCTCAAAGACAGTAGAGTTGTGTCCCTCTGAGGAAAGACAGGCCAAGAAGCCTGGACCCATACCTGTGCCTCCGCTTCTTCCTCTTGCCCTGGGCAGGGGACATCTTCAGATCACTCTTTTCTTCAGACGGACTGTCCCCATCTATTGATACGAGAAGAGAACTCTCTGAGAATGTGAATATTTTGAGCTATGTATTTTGCTATATTTTAAATGTCAAGGTTAACATCATGTGCTAAGAATGTACTTAGTAAGCCAGGAGGTGGTGGCGCACGCCTTTAATCCCAGCACTTGGGAGGCAGAGGCAGGTGGGTCTCTATGAGTTCGAGGGCAGCCTGGTTAAAAAAAAAAGCAAAACAAGAATGTACTTAGTGATATGCACAAGCAAAGAGAGCAATTCCCACTCCCAGATGCTGTCTGCTTTATTTCTATTATTCCACATAAAATAAAAGGACAAAGGCAGCTGGTATTGCTGCCCCGCCAGGTCACAAAAGGTCAAGTTGCAGTGATGAAGTTGGGATCTAAATCTCACATTCTGGAAAGCCAATGCTACTTGGCTACTTACTGTCTTGCCAACCTGAGTCGGTAGGCAGCTGACAGTCCCCCCTGCTCCAGGTGCCTCACAGTTCCCCTCAGTGTCCATGTGGACATTTCTGAGATTTGGGACATCAGAATCTTTGTCAAAGTTCACCCTGCTTTGGTGTGCCCAGGAAGCTTTTACATGCATGACATACATGTTCTAGTGATGTGCAGATTTCCTTGGAAACAATACCATTCGACTGTTCGGTTCTCTGCCCGTATTCAACATAGCAAACGCTCTCAGGGTAAGGAAAGCTAGAAGCCAAACTATTACCAGGCTCATCATTCAAAAGTAGAATTGCCCCCCAAATATTTTTTAAATGAGTAAAGTCAAAAGCAATGAAAGATCGTCAGTTTTGTTTCTGTATCCATGACATCACTACAAAACGGCATCCTTGGACTGTAATATTCTGTGCTGTGCTGTGAAGCGTCCGGAAGTCACTGCATACTTGGAGTGAGGAAATGCATGAGAAGTGGCTACTAAGACTTGCGGCAGATAGAAAACACTTTGTCAGTCTGGGAAACTTAATATCCCCCAAAGCATAATTGTCGATTACACGGAAATGATAACATTTGCATATATTGGATTGACAACCTAGTATTTAAATACACTTCAACTGTGTCTTTTTGCTTTTTTAAGGTGACAGATTTCCCACCAGTCACATGACGCTGTTTCTGCATGAAATGCCCATTCGGGATAAAATTTACTTGCATTTTTTACCTTTCCTTGCAGTTTTTACCTTTCCTTTTATTAATATTTGGAGAAGTCAATCTGTGAAGATAGCCTTTGGATCTTAACGACACAACAAAAGAGGGGCTCCTTTCATACTAGAGAGGCGAGGAGTATGCAATGGACCGTTTGCCGCTGAGAGCTCCAGAGAGCGGCCCGTCTTTGCTCACCACACTCCACTCTGCCTACCCAGCCCGGCGCTGCTCTGCAGGAGTTTTGCTAGGTTCGCGGTCGATTTTTCCGCATTATTCTCTCTCCCTCCCCGTCACATCTCCAGCCTCCCAGTTTCTTGCCCGGTGGAAGAATGTCTTAGGTTCTTTCTCTTGCCCCACAATCCAAGACTTTTTTTTTTCCCTGAGAAAAATAGGTGAACTCCGAACAAAACATGAGTGGAAAAAAATGAGGGGAAGAGAGAGAATGGTTGGAGACCTGGAACTCCCTTCTCAGCACCCGGAGAGGCCAAGAGTTCTCGGGGGACACCCAGCCCTCTTCAACTACGGGTCAGTTCGGTTGATTCTGCCTTAAGGATAGACAAACAGACCCTGATCTTCCTAACCACGAGCCTCTCAAAAACGCGTGCTAAGCGCTGAGAGAAAGGTGCCTGCGGGTCTGGATTACACAGGATCCATCGGAACCCACGGTGACTGTCCCCACTGCCCGCGGGAATAAAGCTTGGGAGGAAAGACTGGGGTTTGGAGACCAGCAACGGCAGGAGGTACAGCGGATCCCCTTGTCAGGACGGGGTTCTCTTTGGGATTCCAATCTCTCGAGATCTAAGGTGTCTTGAAGGGTGACCAAGCATTACACAGGTGCTTCTGAATTGGGATCGGAAAGCGTTGCCTAAAATTACCCGACGTGGAGACACTCTCGCTACGCTGCTGGCGGCCAAGCGCAGGCGACGGGCGGACGGAGCTCTGGGCGACGGCAGGCTCGGGACCCGCGGGTGGGAGAAGCCTCAGATCGGCGAGGAGCAAGCAGCGCGCACGAGCAGCAGCCGCGGAGGGGGATTGCGCCCCGAAGCCACAGAAGAGACCCAGCCCCAGCGGGAGAGCCCCACGGGCAGGGCAAGAACCGCAGAGTCCTGGCCCGGACCCCGCGGGCTCCGCTGCAGTTTCACAGCTGGATCCCAACTCGGGTCCCGCCGGAGTAGGCAAGTCCGCTTCCAAACCCAGCAAGTCGTTGATGGCGAAGCTTCGAAGGCGAGAGCCGGTGGGAGGACAGCCCGGCGCCAGGGCTCTACTCTTAGAGCGCCCATCCGAAAGCCCGTCCCTTCCAGTCATGTTTCTCAGCTCTCTAGGCCAGGCGCCAGGCGAGGGGAGTTGAGTCCCTCCCGGTCACCTGTGCAAAAGAGGCTAACTCAGGCCTTTTATGCTGGGTAGGCTGTCCCTAAGACCTAGACGGCCCAGAAGGCACCAATCAGCAGGGAGCAGACTCATCCGGGCTCCCACCAGCGAGGTGCAGACGCTACCAGCTCCCTTCCCCTGAGTTGTTGGCCTCCCAACTGAGGTCCTCCTAGTCACCTCATTTCTCTCTCCAGCAGTCCCTTACCCACCCCACCCCCATGCTCTGGAAGGAAAGGAAAAGTGAGCAAGCAACGAGGAGTGTGTTGCCTGCCCACTCCATGAAAACCACAAGTTCCACATCCATCCTGATGAGCTAGCTACCCTCTGGACACTCCTGGCCTTCTGAAACCTCACACGCCCAACCGTCCTATAAGGCCTTGGGGGGTTCCCAACCACATCCCCCTCACTACCAAACCACGCAGGCCCGCCGGTTCAACTCCAGCGCTCAGCCTGAAAACCCCTGCAGGAAAGAAACTGACATTTTGTATTTAACTCAAGGCCCGCAACTCTCGCTCCAACCAAGCCCTTCCCTCGCTAGACCCCCAAGGGCTGGAGAGGAGAATGCAACAAATTCGCAAATTCACGGCAACTACGAAAAGAGGAGAGAGGAGGAGAGGCAGATGTGGAATAGGAGGGCTAAAACCGCGGGCAGATTAACAAAAATCGCACAACCCAGTAAAATGTTAATTTCTCGTAAGCAATGGATATTGTTTTAGTATACCGGTGTACCGGTATTTAATTGAGCAATCCTAAACAGGTGGGGAGCGTGAGGTAAACAGGTCCATCTACTGGGACTCCTCACTGAGACGGTCAGGGTTTATAATTATCCAAAGACAATCTGATTGGCAAGTAGGAATTCCGTATTTGTTGAAATTAGAGCTAATTAAAACACGTGAGCCAGCCACTCCTGGCTCAGCCTCCAGCCCAGAACACCCATCCTCTCTTGGGGCCCTGCTCTCAGGCGCTTCTCAAAATCTCCTGGTTTCCAAGACAGCGAGCCACAACTTTTGGAGACCTGCGGGGCGCGGCGCGGCGCGGCGCGGCGCGGCGCGGCGCGGCTTCCTCCCCCTCCCCGAGGAACCTGGCCAGAGCCCAGCCCAGCAGTCTCCCGAGCAGTCTTCGCCGTGTGAGGGGCGCCACCACTAAGCCAGAGGATTAAACAAGGGGCTCCAAGAAAGACAATAGCAAGAGGCTGCGCATTAACTTTCCATTATTAAAGGAAGACCCAAATCTCCCTTCCAAGCTGTTCTGCTGGATTAGCAAACCGGTAACTTTCCTTCAGAATAATTGTCCTGAGTTGCTCGCGGGCGGGAAGGGGCGCGGGGTGGGGGGTCTTTTCGGTTCTGCCAGGAATGTTGCCCAAATTTAGGGGAAGACATCAGAAATACAGAGCCCTGCGTGGTCATTTGTAAATTCGGATTGGGGCTCGCGGTTAAGATACCCAGTGGTCTGCAGCTGGGGTAGGTGATTCAGAAATGGTCACCAGCAAATAGAAGAGGCTCCAGCGACCTTGCCTCGGGTCTATAGCTAAGGTTCAGGTCTCTGGCTGCCAAGATGACAGACTCCCCACACCCCGAGTGGATGCCAGAGGTAAGAAACCAAAAGGTTGGGGATGGGAGGAATGTCTGGCCTCAGCCACGGAGAACAGCCCAGAGCACATCTGATTTTAAACCCCCGAGAAAGATCTTACCTAATAAACCCACTTTGCAGATGAGAGGTTACTCATATAAATCAAATGTTCTCATGGAACATGGGAAGAGAAATGGGGAAAGTGAGGCAGAGCCCGACTGAGGAAGGCTTAAGGGTCCCATTATTGCTGGACAGGGGCACCCCAATGCTGCCTGTTTCCCAATTGGCAGGGACTCTGGTAGGAGAGCTGGATCTCTGGGCACTTTACTGGCAAGGGAAAGTGATAAAGAATCCTTTCATGGAGCCTTCGAGGTGGCTCAGAGGATAAAGGTGTTTGACTCCATGCCAGACTACCCAAGGAGTCCAGAATCACAGTAGTGGAGGGAGAGAAGCCACTCTCTCAAACTGTCCTCCGACTTTCACGGGTGCACCCCCTAGCACACATGACACCCTCCAACACACAAACTAAGAAAAGAATTTGATTTTCATGGTCCCCTCCCTGCTAAGGAACCTGTGTCACCACACCCCCATGGCTGCAGCCGTCCAATAGCTGGTGACAAAGGATGGAGACTGGGGAGCAAGAGAGGAGGAAGTGCTTTACCCAAATGACCTTCAAAGTGGAGGAAATCACTTCCGGTAACTTAAGGGACCAGGCACAGGGGGCGGCTCTGTCTACCCACTCTGTGTATGTCCACCCTATCTCCAGGCAGATAAAGACATGGGCAGGAGGTCTGCACCTCATCCTGATGCTTTGGCAGCCTGGTGTGGACTCCTCTTGGCCTCCTCTCACCAAGCGCAGATCTAGGGCCAGTGTCTGCTGCCCCTGCCACCCTCTTTGGAACCCTAAATCCGTTAGGGAGTCCAGATCTGCCTTCATCAGCCAGGATTATCTAGGATTTAACTAATCAAAGTTTTTCCTATCACTATTTCCAGGGAATGTTTCCAGACCCTCTCTGATGCCAGCCACATATGTGCCCGTCCACTGCTTCTCCTGTTTGCCCAGTTTAGATGCATTGCAGCCTTTCACGGAACCTGATTGGGGCTGGTCCACAGATACTACTTCCCATCTTTTCAGAGCTGCTGCTGGCCTGGCTAACTATACAAAACCTTCAGATGTTACAGGAGTGGGATAGAGTGTGAGATGCTCTCATAGTTCATTCTCTGCCCCTTCTTAGATGCTGTTAGGGCCCAGTATATTGGCTCCTGCCTGTGATTCCAGCCTATGGGATGCTGAGCCGGGAAAATCACAACTCGCTGGAGACCCGGAGGACACCTGGGCTACAGAGTAGAAATCTGTCTCAAAAACAAAACCAAACAAACAAAAAAAGTTGTAGAAGAGCTACTTTTCCTGTTCCTGTCCCTTTCTGTGGTTGGTTTGCCTACCCTCCTTAGTCTCCCAGTCCCTGCCTTAGCTTCTTATCTTTTCCAGGGGATTCTCTTGGCTCTGAGTTTACCTTACTAGCTAGCCACACGTGCAAAGAATTAGTCTATGTTCTGAAAAGCCCTTGTTCACAGGACAACAGAAGTGGATGGCACACACTCTGTTCTACCACAGACATGTGCGGTGCGCTCTACTCTGTCTCTACAGGGTCCTGGTAGGACTGTCCCCAAGGTCCTAGTAGGGCTGTTCCTACTAGGAACAATTACAGTTACAGTTTGGTTCCCAACCCCCATGTCACATGGATCACAACCTCCTAAGACTCCAGCACCAGGGTGTCCAGTGCCTTTGGCCTCTTCAGCCCCAGCATTTATGTGCACAAACCCCAGCCCCCCCCACACACACCTAGGGTAGGGGAGGATTTTCAAAAATAAATCTTTTAAAAAACATAACAGATTTGGAGATTTGGGGTGTCAGTTGGTAAAGTGACTACCACACAAACAGGAGGACCTGAGTTCAAATCCTCGGTACCCATGTAAAAAGCCAGGAACAGAGGAACATGTTTGTAATTCCAGCACTGGGAAGGTAGAAGCAAGCAGGTTCCTGGAGCTTAATGTAGCCAGCCTAGCCTGCTTGGTGAACTCCAAGCCAGTGAATGATCTTGTCTCAAATAATATTCTTTAAAGTGGATAATGCCTGAAAAACAGCAAGAATGCACACACATAAACACAGAGAGAAGATTACATGGGACAGCTCCAAGATAGGCCGTATTCTGGATTGTAAGACATGGTTCAGCAAGTTGAAAAGAATAGAAACCATACAAAGGACCAGCTATACCCCTCCTGGGCATATACATCCAAAGGATTCTATATTTGCAGAGATCCTTGCTCACCTATGTTCGCGGCTATTCACAACAGCTATGATAATGAAACCAAGAGGCATATACATAATAGAATGCTATTCATCTGTAAAGAAAAAAAAGAGATTGTAAAGTTTGCAGGTAAATGGAGGGGACAAACATACTTAGTAAGGTAGTTCAGACCCAGAAAGACAAATGTCATGTGTTTTCTCTCATCTGTAAATCGAAGTTTTCAATCTTTTAGATTTGTGTATTTAAACTGGGGTACCTGAAGAAGCCAAGAAACCAAAGGGGTCCACGGTGGGGTGGATAAGGAAAGGGGCATAGTAGAAGCAGATTGGAAAAGGAGAAAGGGAATAATTGGGGAATTTGAGGGTAGAGCAAAATCAGAAGTGTGGGTAAATTAGCATTAAAAGCGTTTGGAAAATCTGTATAGACTATGCAGTCTATGAACAACACAATGGGAGGACAAGCTACAGACTCGGAGGCAATATTTACAAAACACAGATCTGTTTAAAAACTTGTATCTGATATATACAAAGAACATTTAAAGGCAGTTTGTCCATTTATTTCAAAACTACACACGATCTTATCATATGATGTGGCAATCGTATATTTTGGTATTTACTCACTTGCATTGGTGAGCATGCTCTCACAATATGAATATTCATAGCAGGGTGTTTTTTATATAATAATCCAGTGTTGGAAGCAATCAACCTGGTCCATCCATTGAGAAATATACAAACTATATTACAAACAGGCAGTGAAATATTGTTCTATTATCAAAACAATGAAAAGAGCCAGGCAAAGCTGGACAGTGGTGGCGCACACTTTAATCCCAGCACTTGGGAGGCAGAGGCAGATGGATCTCTGTGAGTTCAAAACCAGCCTGGTCTATAAGAGCTAGTTCCAGGACAAACTCGAAAGCTACAGAGAAACTCTATCTTGAAAAACCAAAAAATAAAAAATAAATGGGGCTAAAGAGATGGCTCAGAGATTAAGAGCACTGGCTGTTCTTCCAAAGGATCTGAGTTTAATTCCCAGCAACCACGTGGTCACTCACAACCATCCGTAATGAGTTCTGGTGCCCTCTTCTGGCCTGTAAGCGC